GTTTTCCTCGGCATCATAAGTCTGTTTGCCACTAGGCGATGTTTATACCGATACTTTACATGATCAAGCCCGTCGTAACCTAAAATTTATCATTTTAGCTGGATTCTACAACTCCCAACAAGATGCAGGTTATCCCATTCCTTGTGCATCCGAATAAAAGAATGGTAAGAAAAACGTACTAGGTGAAAGTAACTTTGTTTTAATAACATGTCTTCTGCCCAATACTGAGTTTGTGAAGTTTTTACAAATTAAGCCTTTACAGCAATTAATTTCTGCGTAGACTGAAGCTTGCAATTAAACCTGCCTGCTACTAAACTCTGTAGATCTTTGCCCCCACGGGCAAGTTGAACACCGACATTTCGGACAGCCGCCAGATCTATTCCACGGCCATGGAGGCAGCAAAACTGTAAGTCACTCCCCTCATTGAGTTTTGCGATCAGTTAATTTGTCTAAGGAAAAGCACTGCCTGTCATGACATTGGGCCAGATTATTTCACGAGGTTTCAGTTTTTCTAAGCTGTACAACTTATTCTAATTCTTGTAAAATGAGGGTAAATGAGTATTGTCGGCAAAGGTAAGAGAGGCTGTAATGACCATTTCTGGCTTATTAGACGTCATACCCAATCTCAGGTAGTGCTCCAGCCGAGGTTCAAACCCACGACCTGTTGATCAGAGGGCCATTGAGCCACATCAATGTTTATCTGCCTTCAATACTAGTCGCTGTGCGACTGCTAACGGGGTTGGAGAGTGAACAAAAAGGCGGAACGGAAAGAGTGAGTTCCATTAGCGACATGTGAGCATTCAGCAACATAAGTAAGCTTCTTAGCGAAAGCATGAGAAATACTGGACTGCCCACTCGAAAATGACTATCCGTTTAAATTCAAGTGACTCTTATTGCTTATGTGATACCTGACCTTCTTTATATTGCAGGGCCTACTCCCTCAATCTACGAAAACCGTTGTTTGTATTGGGTCCTCTGGAATCCGCCAAAAGTATGAATTACACATGGATGCAGGGCGATTACCGTTACCTTCTGATGACATTGGGCGCCCTACAAGGGTATTACACGGTAGGTCCTTTCTGACGCTAACTGCACCTGATTGAACTCAAGTCAGATTCAATTCGCCGAAAGCGCCCCACACATCGCCTTACAAAAAACTGTTGCCTAGATTATCCTCAAAGTAGGGGCTTGGGCTTGAAAATGCAAAAAGAAGAACTAATTTAAACACCTATTACCATGGCAAAATTAAATTTTGATTTAAAAC